AATCTTTGATACTTAATGCTTTATCTACTTTTTTATGAATTATTTATCTTTACAAACATTATAATTACATTTATATTGCAGATATTTTTTACACATTTTTTTAACCAACTACTTTTCTCAACTTGTATAATTATATTTTTTTTTTTAAACTATTAGAAAAATTCAAAATAATAATCAATATTTTTTAATTATTAAATAATTATATATAATATACCTTTTCAATATATAGCTTATATCTTGATTTTTATATTTGATAGTAAAATCAATTTTTAAGATCAATATATAAAGTATACTTTTGATTTTAAAAAGAAATAAAATTAATAAACTAGTAATACTGTATATTATTTAGACTTTTTCTTCTCAAAATAAATCTGATTGTGTAAAAATACTAATTGTAAATCTATGTATTATAATATCAAAAAATTAAAATTTATTTTAAAATAATCAAGACTTATTTCTTTTAAAAGTAGATTTAATTATATAAAAGTTCTCATTATAAATCTAAGCATTATATTATCAAAAAATCAAAATTTATTTTTAAAATAATCAAAACTTATTTTTTTTTTAAAGTAAATCTAATTGTACAAAAATACTAATTGTAAATCTATGCATTATATTATTAAAATTAAAGTTTATTTTAAATTCTTTTTTTTTTAAAATAAATCTATTATATAAAATATAAATCGTAAATCTATATATATTACATTATCAAAAAATTAAAGTTTATTTTTAAAAAAAATTAAAGACTTATTCTTTTTATAGAAATTTATCAGTTAAATGATTTCTTTTTATAATATATTTTTTAATTACATTTGATTATATTAATACAAAATAATTCTAATTTCATATAAGTATTTATTTAGTCTTTAGATTTTCTCAATAAAGAATTTAAACATATTTTATAATTTCCTAAAATTTTATTTAAAAGAAGAAATAAATTTTAAAAAATTTTTTTCTTCTTTTTATTTAAAAAAAAAACTAAAATATCAAATTCAAATAAAAATTACGATAAGAAATAAAAAATAATTAATATGAATAATAAAACTATTAAAATTAATTATAAAATATAAAATATGTTAAATATTTATCTAAATATATCATCACTACTATTATTGAAATCTTTAACACCATCACAATTTCTTTATAATTATTTTATTTATAGTCTTTATAATTATTTTTAATCTTTATCTTTGCCTTTCTTCTTATTATTATTATTAACATCAATAGTAGTAAATATAATACTATTATTACAACTACTATAATTATTATAACTATTATAACTACTATTATTATCATTACTATCATTATCACTAGAATTATTACTACTAGTATGATCAAATTAATCAATTAGGTAAATAATAATATTTTAATAAATTACATTATTATTATAATTTATAATCATTTTTAAATTTATTATAATTCATCTAATACTTATTATTATTATAATAGTTAGGTTATTAGATTAATCAATATGATATTTTACAAAGATATTAGAATTATTGTTTTAAATATTAGTTAATGAATGGTTATATGGTAAAAAATTGTTTATCATTCAGTAAAAGATCACCATAAAAATAAGAATTTAAAATTGATAATAAAATATTTATTTAATATGTATTTTTTTTAAAAAATTAAAAATTAATAATTTTTTATATCTTAACTAAAGCTAATACCATCAAAGTCAAAACTAATGCTAATGTTATCACTAAAAAAAAAATGTCATTATCAAAATCAAAGCTAATGCTAAAAAAAAACTAATATTATTATTAAAGCTAATGTTAAAGCTAATACTAAGCTACCAAAAAAAATTATATACTGTTAAAGTTAAATCTAAGTCAAAAAAGCTAATGTCAATTATTAAAGTCAATACCAAATTCAATGTCAAATACTAATACTAATGCTAATATCAATATTAATACTAATATCAGTATCAATATTAATATCAGCACTAGCACCAGTACCAATACTAATGCTATTACTAATACTAGTACTATTAAAGCTAATAGTAGCATAAATATCAATATCAATGTCAAAGCTAAAAAAGCTAATATCATAATATTAGTATTAATGCTAATATAATACTAAAATCAAGTCAATACTAAAAAGCTGATGTGTTCTGTTAAAGCTAATGCTAAATACTGATATCAATAAAAGCTAACATTATCTACTAAAACTAATTAATGCTAATGTTAATATTAAGATTGCTAGACAAAACTTAGAGGTTTTATAAGTTGTTTAAATGAAAAAAGGTAAAATTTAGCGAAATTATATTAAAATCTTATTAAAATCTGCGAAATTCTGAAAAAGATAAAACTATATCAAAGCTTATAAAAATGTGAAACTATATCAAACTTTAGTAAAAAATTAGTGAAACTATAGTTTAGATATTTTGTCAAATCCAAAATAAATTTAGATAAGCAATCTTAGTTAATATCAAAAAAAAAATATTTTTTTTTAATTTTAATTTTTTTATTTTGTATGTGTTATTTTATTAATATTTATTTATTATTTAATGTGTAATTTTTTTTTGATGAAAAGATTAAAAAAATTTTTTTTTAATAAATTTTTTGTATTTTTTTGAATTTTGAAAATTAAATATATAAATTAATATTTTAAATGAAATTATTTTATTACTTTTATATAATTAACTTATATTAAATAAAATTATTTTACTAATTTGATATAATTAAACTTATAAAATAATTTTATCAAATAAAAATAATAATTAAAAATTTTTAATTTTTAATTGTATTTGATTTATAAATAAATTATATAATATATTTAATTTATACAGATAACTAAATAATTAGATAAAAGGATAACTGAAAAATCTGACTTTCTAAATAAATGTAGTATTCTAATCTACTATATAATATAAATGTCTTTATAAAGATATACTTAAAAATAAAATAAAAGAATAATTTTTTTTGTATATATATATATTGTAATTTATTATACATTATTCATTTTTAACTACAAAACAATTGTTTTTTAATTTTTTTCATTATTAATTGCAAAACATTTAATTTTTTATAAAATGAATGAAAATTTATATTTATACAAATGTTAATTTTGTCTAAAAATTTTTCAAATAATAATTTTATAATAAAAAAGTATTTATTATAGATATCAGAAAGAAATCAGATGTCAATAAAAAAGCAATTAAGCAATATTGAGAAAGAAAAAAAGTTGAAGAAAAAGATATAAATTTAATAATGAAGTAAGTATTATAAATTATTATTTACTAACTAAAATGTAATAATAATCTCAATTTTGTTAAAAATTTCTGAAACCTGATTTTCTTAGCAATCAGCCCATATGTCAAGATAATGGGAACTTCCTTTCTTGAAGTATGGTATAATGAAAAATTAGAAAATCGTTATTCTAAAGGATACAAAAAATTAAGAAATTCATTATTTAAGCAGCCAAAAAGTTTGATCTTTTATAATCAATAATCTTATTAATTCATTTTTTTCAAATATTCTATGTATTAAATTAATGACTACAATTCAGATCTTTTAATTTTTCTAACCAACATAATTATGTGAAAAATACGTAATATAAAATTGTCAACGTTATTTTGTTCATTATGAAAAAGTGCTAGCAAAAAAATAGACAATAAAGTCTATAGTAAATAACTATGTATATTAGTATAGAAAATTTTTATCTTATATCATGATTAATTTATTTACTGCAAAGAATTCATCTGAAAAGTGATTTGATTACTTGATTTTCTAAATACATTTGAGTTCAATCAGTATTCTAAACTGTACAACATTTCTAATGCTTACTATTTACATTACTTTAGTTCTTTCCCATTACCAGAGTTCTTCTTATAATCATTTTTGTCAAATGCATCAGTTTTTTCTTGCTGATTTGATTTGATTTTACATTACTAAATACCTATTTTTCCAAAATTTTTATTCCCAAATTTTTCACTTAAAAATACCTAAAACATCCAAAACTTATAACCAAAAAATAGACCTTGATAATTTAGACTTCGAACACATCTATATTCTTGAAGAATTCAAATAAATCAATAGCAGCTAAAAAACCATACTTTGAAAGTTGATAGACGGCCTGGAGCGAGTTTATTTAAGCTTGGTCATAAACAGGTCAGGTTTATAATTGATTGATCGACACAGCACAAAACCAGGAACTAGCCGGTTTGAAAGTAAGCATAGTAGTTCGAGCATAAACCTGTTTTAAACCGGGGTGGAATAAACCACTTAACATCCCTAAATGTAATATTTTTCAAAACATATGCATGTTACTCTATTTAATAAATGGAGTCTTTGGTTCGTCCATTTTTTTTTTTTTTGCTTTGAACATTAATAGTTATAAATATTTGTCTTCTTTGGTGAAACGTTATTAAGAAAATAATTTTTTTAATAAAAAAAGTGACAAAGGATTTTCAACGAAACGCTATTTTTGGAACTTCGATGGTTGATAATTTATAATTTCTACCTCAATTTTAACATTAGCCATCGTAGCCGCAGTATATAATGAATCCGTTTGAAATTCTGTTTTATTCTAGCGAATGAAAATGAATCGCGAATCAACTTGTTTTATTTATTTTCGACAATCCAAAAATGCTGTTAGGAACAAATAAAAAATTTACTAATATATGTAATTATGGAATTATAACAAAGAATCCTTGATTAAATTTTCTAGCTGCTGTGTATAAATAAATAAATGGCAATGTCATCAGTTTGGAAAATTCAGAGATCCTTTACCAATAATGTACATTTCTCAAGAATAGTTCTACCAAACCCACCTAATGCTCTATTCCAAGCATTTGAACCTGTAAAAACATTGTTCCCAACATTGCTTGACAAAATTTTCCTCTACTGTTTGTGCTATTTTCTTATGTATACAATTCGTTATGAAGAACCTCCTTTTGAATCACAAAACTTCCGGCGTGGGCATAATTGGAGGATTTATTGCAGGAAATTTCAGAGCTTGATTCCTATGAATTGATAAATTTTGTTTGCTAGTAACTATGCAGCAATATCACCAGCTTGCAAAGAGTCATTAATTCTATTATTCTCAATAAATTCATTTATTTGAGAAAGAACTGTATGGTTCGCATGCTCCATACCTAGTATATTCGACCGCAAAACGGATGAGATGTTAAAGATCACAAGTTGAAGTAGACAACAGGCAAAAATCACTATGAATTTATGAACTAAAGAGGATCCCTTCCATGAAATTCTTTCCGATTTTCCTCAGGATAACAATTTCAGGTTTACAGAAGTTGAAAAATCATAAGCAAATTATTATATTTAATGAACTTAAGAACTCACGGAATGTGATTTGATTTTTATTATTGTAATAAACTCATTTTTTCTATTATAAAGACAGAAATTATATATTACTTACTGTAAAACTAATATATTTAACATGTTCATAAATTCACTTTTTCTGATTTATGCGAAAAATCTGTAATCCGAATTTACGTCAGTGATATATGCATCACGTAATAAAATTCATGCGTCTAAATTTGGCAATGATATGAATGTTCTCTCACGATAAATATTATATATATATATATAATCGATAACTAAGAAAGGTACTATGAGATATGTTCAAAGGTTATAGTTTTTATTATCCTTTTCAAAAAAGAATGAAAGAATGAAATTAAAATATGAAAGTGAAAAAAAATTCGGGAATTTTCCCCCTGATCCAGGTCCAGGTTTAAACAGGTATTTTTTACATAAAAAAAAATGTAACGTTTCCTAATAAGTAAAAATTAATAAACGTCAAATGTCATCAATATTTGATGTTCGACAACTGCAATTCTTGGAAGAAAATTTTTAGCTCAAAGATCGAAAGATAGAATAAAATATATCAGGTAAAAAAAAGTACAGTTAAAAGAATTTTTATCTACTTGTTTATCTCTATTTTCTTTCTCTTTAGCGAACAAAATTTATATAGACTGTCTACATTAATTTCTCATGAATCTTTCATTGATGACTCACTAACACGAGATCATTCTGCAGTCAGAAGTGGTTAAATATTTTACTACTTGCTATTTTTAGTAATAATAAAGATGTAAAAAATATATTAATTATCTATTACGCTGAGTAAAAAAAAAAAAATATCTATTACGCTGCGCTGATACAACATCTTTTTTTTTTTTATTATACAGCAACAGCAAATTCAAACTCTTACACACATTTTCCCCCCTTCATATTCCTTCTCGTACCTAAAATAATGCTCAAATTCCAAACAACTTTTCTATCTTTCTAAAACTTTTTCGAACGCGTCTTTCCACACTTTCGTGTTTTTTTTGACAAGGTATTTATTGTATTAGTAGTGGTTTTCCATTCTGGTTATGAGCTCAACAATATTCGCGAAATATTGCTTGACCTACCGGTTCGATATACCCGGGATGTTCATTTCTATAGACAAGTATTACCCCAGTGCTATAACGTATTGATAAGTTAAGTATTATCTTTACGTGGTCGTTCCTTTAATACTTTGACTCTTAAGATCTGACTCCCAACCGCCCTTAGCACGAATTCCTTACTCTTTCAAAAATACTTAGATTATTAATTTAACATTTTTTTTTATCATTCTAATAGGCATACCTTTGGAACCGTACAGTTTGAACCCTTCTTGAAATTTATTTGAACGCGCTATTTCCATATCTTTCACGCTTTTGACAAGGTATCTGTTGAATTAGTGGTGGTTTTCCATTCTGGTTACGAGCTCAACAATATTCGCGAAATATTGTTGACCTACGGTTCGATATACCCGGGATGTTCATTTCTATAGACAAGTATTATCGCAGTGCTATAATGTATTGATAAGAAATTATTTCTACGAGGTCGTTCCTTTAATACATTGACTCTTAAGATCTGACTCCCAACCGCCCTTAGCACGAATTCCTTACTCTTCAATAA